CTTTGAAATGGGTTTCAAGGGTGTTAGGCTACAGCGCAGGGATCGTTCCTGCTAATAGCGATCTGCAAGTTTAGTGCAAAAACGCATGATCGCACCGGACAGCTTGGTGCTTTCCATCCTGGGTTTTGAATCAGCATAACATCCTATGAAGAAGCATATTTTAGTTGTGATAGCGCAGCGTTTGCTGAAGTAAACAGTAGACAGCTAATTTTTTGAGCTGTTCGTGAAACAAAATTCTGCAGCTTCCGATAATCTTGGTTGGCAACGAAGATGTTATGCATACCGACGAGGAATGCACCGGCTCATCATCAACGTCGATTTCTGAAGGATATGAATCGGATTCCGTTCATCCGCTAACGGTCTGTGGCCTTGCTCGAGCGAAAACAAGTTTGGGAATGACGCACGCAAGCCATGAGCTTGCCAAGGTCACTCTGTTACAGGTGAATGCTGCTCATGTTTCAAGCTTATCAAATAAGATGCTCACAGCTTCAGCAGTTTCCTATCAGTTTCTATCAAGAGCTATCAACAGATTTCTGAGGTCGTGCGTATTTGCACTATTTTGTGCTGTTGTGAAATCGCTTATGCAGCTGTATGGTATATAAATTGTTGATGTCGGCTTCAGTGACGTATCCGACCAAAAGTTGCTGATGCGCGAAAAAGACCCCGCAGAGGGCATCAAACATTTTTAGCAAACACTGATTTTACTGCACTGAAAACGCATAGTCTGTGGTGTGAAGTGCTTGAAATGAAATTTGTCCTGCTAGCTGAATTTGGTGGCTGAAATCTGTCCAGCATGTCTGCGAGGAAATACATGCCTAAATCTTAAGTATATTCGGGAGTCGAGAAAACTAGGAAGCAGAAATTTCACACTAAGTCAAATCCAGCGGCCGCTCGTGTCTAAGCTTCAAGTACGGTCACGTAAAAGTTTTGACGTCAAAATTAATAACTCAGAAATCACGAAATCTAGAAAACTGAAATATTGAGAGAACGTATTTTGCCCACGTATGATCCCGCAGCCCAAATTCAGCCCCTGCATGCCTAAATCTTACGTATATTCGGGAACCGAGAAAACTAGGAAGCGGAAATTTCAAAGTAATTCTCCTGCCAGCGTATAAATTTAGCCCCTTCACACGCCTAAAAAGGTATGGACATGCGAAAGCTGTGCTGCTCGAATTAATAACTCAGGAACCACAAAAGCTAGAACGTTGAAATTTTAGGATATTGTTCTCTACCAGCGTATAAATTAACTCCCTTGCACACCTAGGTCCCATGCACAGAAAAGTGGAAGTTTTGACGCCAAAACTAAACCAGGCTGAAACGCACCAGGCTCTCCGGTGCGATCATGCGTTTTTGCACTAAACTCGCTGATAGCTATTAACAGGAATGATCCCTACGCTGTAGCCTAACACATGGGTCATATTGGCATGCTTTGATCCTTTCTGGCACGCAGGAGGAAGAGCGTCAGCTGGGATGAAGGTGGTGCATTTTAGAACTACATGGACAACCAGCTGCATGATTACTAGTTATGCGTTTTTGCCTGTATGCAAATTGCAAGAACGTATATTGGGACGACCCTGTCTGTGTGTATGTATGTGTGTGTATGTTTGTGTGTGTGTGTGT